AGCAGATGCAGTCATAAAACTCAGGTTTCCCATGCTCCTTATTTGGATGAAAGGATTGTAAAGACTATATACTAGTAGTGGAACCTTGGTTCTCGAACTTAATTCGTTACAGAGGGCTGTTCAAAAACTGAGTCATTTTCTCCTGTTAAAAATAATGTAAATTTAATAAATCTGTTCTAGACCCCCAAATGATTCCCTGTTTTAACTTTCTTATATACAGTACATGTCTAATATACTTTTATAAATACTTTAACAGATGACCAAGAGACATATGAAAAAATGCTCAAAGTCATTAAAATCAGAGAGATGCAAATTAAAACGACAATGAGGTATCACCTCACACCTGTCAGAATGGCTACCATCAACAAATCAACAAATGACAAGTGCTGGCAAGGATATGGAAAAAAGGGAACTGTAGTACACTGCTGGTGGGAATGCAGACTGGTGCAGCCATTATGGAAAACAGAATGGAGTTTCCTCAAAAAATTAAATATGGAACTGCCATTTGACCCAATGATCCCACTTCTAAGAATATATGCTAAGAAACCCAAAATACAAATCAGAAAGAATGTATGCACCCCTATGTTCATAGCAGCATAATTTACAATAGCTAAGATCTGGAAATAGCCTAAGTTCCCATCAGTAGATGAGTGGATCAAAAAGGTGTGGTACATTTAAACCAGTGATTCCCAAAGTGGGCGCTACCGCCCCCTGGTGGGCGCTGCAGCGATCCAGGGGGGCGGTGATGGCCACAGGTGCATTTGTTTTAACTTTTTTTGTATTACCTTTCTATTCTGAGTTCAATAAATAGTTTCATAATTTCAAACTTCAATGTTTCTAATTTACACCTTTCTTTACTATATTTTACGAAAAAGGTAGAAACATTAATACATATATCTTTCTGTTTAATTGCTATTAAAATTTTAAAAAAATTAATTTCCAGGGGGCGCTGAGTAATATTTTTTCTGGAAAGGGGGTGGTAGGCCAAATAAGTTTGGGAACCACTGATTTAAACCATGGAATACTATGCAGCAGTTAAAAGAAGAATCTCTTACCCTTTGAGACAGCATGGAGGGACTTGGAGAGTATCATGCTAAGTGAAATAAGTCAGAGAAAGACAAGTATCACATGATCGCACTCATATGTGGAATCTAAGTAACAAAATAAACTGATAAATGGAGTGGATCCAGAGACTTGAAGCATGGAACAGAATGTGGAATCTTTGGATGGAAGGTGGGGGAAGGTGAGTGGGTGGGAGGTAATCAACCAATGACTGTGTATGCATTTATGCATGGCCCATGGACACAGATAATGGGGCAATGTGGTCCTGGGGCAGGGCTGGGGCAGTCTGGAGACAGTTAATGGGGGAAAAAGGAGACATATGTAATACTTTCAACAATAAAGAATTATTTTTTAAAATAAACATATAAACACTTTAAAAACAAAAAGGACATGAATTGTAAATGAAAATTTAACAAAAAAGAAATGAAATATATAGAAAAAATTGAAAATCCTATATAATAAAGAGGTAATATGCAAATTGACTGTCATGCCCTTGCACAAGATGGCCATCCCCATGTGGTCAAAAGATGGCCACCACAAGATGGCCGGCAGGGGAGGGCAGTTCAGGGCGACCGGGCCGGCAGGGGACGGCAGTTGGGGGCAATCGGGCCGGCAGGAGAGCAGTTAGGCGTAGATCAGGCTGGCAGGGGAGTGGTTAGGGGGTGATCAGGCTGGCAGGCAGGCGAGCGGTTGGGAGCCAGCAGTTCGGATTGTGAGAGGGGTCCCAGATTGGAGAGGGTGCAGGCTGGGCTGAGGGACAACCCCCCTACCCCCAGTGCACAAATGTCATGCACCGGGCCTCTAGTTTAATAATAATAAGCAGCAAGAAAAGCAAAAAAATCACAAAAATATTCACAGAACAATTTCCTGAGATGTTAACAACGTGAGGTTTAGCGGTAAACTGACTCATACTCACATTCGCTCCTTTGTCACCTTAGAGTCATGACTGATCATACAGGTGTCAGCATGAAAGGCTTGTCGAGGTGAGAGCCAAATTGTTCACGATGGGAGATGTTCGAGAACCAAGGTTTGGCTATAATTGAATGCTTTTTTCTATTTGTAGTATAGTTGAATTGAGTTTAATACCACCTTGTTACAGATTCACTGAAAGTTGCCTTTTTATTTTTGATGGTGGGAAATAAGGCTTAACTGGAGAACACCATGAAATGGTGGCATTCAACCACATTTCTAAGGGGTGGTCAAGGTACAAGGATATTTTGGAGAGAAATCAAACACCCAGTACATAATACCTTTAAACATTCATTTTCCTAATTATAATAAGCCAGGCTGAACAGCTCATTGGTACTAATTATTACACCAAGTGGACATGTTAGAAAAGTTACCACAGCGTGTAAAACAGTCACTTTTTAACTCAGAACAGTTTGAGGTAAAATGCTATTATTCAAATAGCTTTGACAGGAAAAGTGTTCTATAAAAAGATTTCACAACCCTGAGTTAGAAATAGTTCCCTCTGTGACTCTCAAGGAGAATGCCTGGTTGTGGAAACAAACTCTGTTGCACAGTTACATGTTTATGCTAATGGGCACCCTTCGGAGTGGGCAAGGGTGGAAGGAACACTGCTTCTTTCTCAAAGCAGCCAACCCCCAATTATGCAGCCCCAGTTCAGCTAACCACTGCCTGTGGTGTCAGTGTGCAGCAGCCCTATGCAAATTGGGTTAATAATTTTGAGAAGGCCCGTCCCAGGCCAGAATCCCTAGGCGAAGCAGCTGTGTTGGTGAGAGGGCTTAGCGAAGCTCAGAGCCATTCGTGTGATTTCCCTCTTTCCTCTGTGGCAGGGATCCCTAAACTGGGGTCTGCGATGGCATCAGGGAGTTTGTAACTGGGGTAGGAAACACACACCAGCGTTATTTTTTATGCACTTCTAACTAACCTAACACGAAAGTGTGCGTATGTGCGTGCCACAATCCATAGTGGTATGAGTGGTACTTAGGACTTTTCACCCACAGAAACCACAGATGACTAGGAATACTGTCTCCCCCTCATGACTTAGAGTTATTGCTGTTAGGCCACCTGTTAGAGTCTATGAAATGTGTTCATAAAGAATCACATGCAAGCCTGGCCAGTGTGGTTCAGTGGTTGAGTGTCAACCCATAAACCAGGAGGTCTCTGTTCCATTCCTAGTCAGGGCACATGCCTTGGTTGCAGGCTTGATTCCCAGTAGGGGGCGTGCAGGAGGCAGCTGATCGAGGTTTCTCTCTCGTCATTGATGTTTCTATCTCTCTCTCTCTCTCCCTCTCCCTCTCTGAAATCAATAAAATAAAAAAGAATCACATGCAAAATTGTTTGAAGTATTTTATGCACTTGAAAATATTATTCTCCATGGAAAACAAGGAAAGATTCAGGAGTTGTCACATAACCAAGACAACTAGGGAGACGTGAAAACTCTGTGTAATGGATGCCCCATACTGGCTCTGGGAACAAAAAGAAGACAGTCATGAGAACACTGGAGTAATTTAAGTAACATCTGTAATTTTGTTCCTAGTAATGTGCCAATGACGGTTTCTTAGTCTTGACAGGTGTACCATGGAAACGTAGATGGTAACAGAGGCTATTCGAGAACTCTCTGTACCCTTGCTGCTGCTGCTCCCAGAGAGGTGTAGAGTGGAGGTTTTGTGTCAGCTCGAGCCTCTTCCTGATCCAACTCCGAGGAACTGTGGGAAGGGAGCAATCCAAAAGTAGGGAGAGGTTTTCCAGGGAAGCAAACTAACTTGCAGTGTATTATGGTGGGACAGGCATGCCTTTGGGGTCAGAGGCCAGGCTTCATGTTCTGTCTCTGTCCCCAGCCTTGTGCTCTGCAGCCAGGAAACGGCTGTGGACTTCCTCTTCCCCCTCGCAGACGCAGCCATCACCAAGGCCTCGGCAGGGTCATCGTGAGGACTAAAGATAACGTGCCCAGCAGGGAGCCCTTTGGAGCCTATTACATGCCATGCTAAGCATTTTTCATACATTATCTAATTTAATTCTCCTAATACCTGTATTACATGACCATTTTATAGCTGTGGAAACTGAGGGTCAGGGTCTCAATGACCTCACTGCCCAAGGCCACTAGCTGAGCTGAAATTGAGATCGGTGCTGACTGTAGTTCATGAATGTCCTACATCTTCTCTTGAGGCTAAGCCTTCCCTGACTACCCGACAGACCCGGTTGCAGGGGGCTCTTTGCTGTCTCTGACTTCTGAACCCCCTCTTGTTTGTTTGGCACAACCATCTCCATCTGCATGCCCTCCTCCTCCTGACACTGCTGCCCTTGTGGTCGGCTTCTTCTGACTTGAGATTGTCCAGCTGGAAAGTGCGGGTGTTGGGCCGAGCTCAGGTCTGTCCCAGTGTGGAAGGTTTGTTCTCGTTTTGTGGTGTTTAGCTGCTTGTTTCATCGGTTTGGTGGGATGACTCCTAAATGACTGAAGCCAAAATTTTTCTCATTTGTTATGAGCGAAGTTAGGCATTTCTATGTCATTCTCCCAGATTCCAGAGAAGGAGAGAGAGAAAAAAGCAGAGCTCTAACTCTTTGTGACCTTTTAAAACTACAGCAATTTTAAAAAAAGAACCTAGCAGAGGCCACTGTGACATTGATCTCTTCTTTGATTGGGATTTTGTTGAGGGATTACTCAAAAGGATATAGGAGTACTTTTATTTATTTAGTTAGTTTCTTTCTGTGATTAGAGAGGAGACACCATGTATCACCCTGTAGTGGCCAATTATTTCCAATTAAAGTCTATTGAAAGGAAGGAGAAAGGTAATTATCAATATCAAAGCTTATCTGGACAAGTGAATTTAGCCATTAGAAGCAGTTATTCAGTAATGAGCCAGATTCCCCCAAGTGGCAAGGGCGCTCACATCTGTCTCGGAATGAGGAAGCCACGCGCTCGGTGAGGTGGCCTCCGAGGACCTTTGATCCCATGGTGTGCTCTTGTGTTTCAGTTTTTCCCCTACATCCTGTTGCTGGTCGCCATCCTCCTGTACCTGCCCTCCCTGTTCTGGCGTTTTGCAGCTGCTCCGCATATTTGCTCAGATTTGAAGTTCATCATAGAAGAACTTGACAAAGTTTACAACCGTGCCATTAAAGCCGCGAAGAGCGTGCATGACCGCGACCTGAGAGATGGTACCTGCTCAGTTCCTGGTTCTAATGAGAACGTAGGACAAAGGTAACAGTCCCCTGCAGGTACCAAGTCGGGTTTTGTCGTACACACATTGTCTGCCCTTTTCCTGCCCGTCTGGGCTTCGGATTCCCATTGCCAGTAGATGGGAGCGGGAGGGCCAGGAAGACTCGCTCTCCCTAAATCTCACCCCCACCTGTATGCCCCAGCATCTGTCCTCACATGAAGAGTCCTCTCCTTGTTGAGTGAACCATCACTGTTTCACTGGAAGAGGTAACAGGTTAGGGCACAAGGTGTGGCTCACTTGCTTTGACCTACACCTTAATGGGGGAGCACGGAAGATTCTGAGGCCTCTGAGCTTAGAAAGCAGGTGTGAGAGAAGGGAATGAGTAGGCGGTGCCTTGCCTTTTTTACATTCTTCCTCTGATTCTTGTTATTAACAATAGTAATAGTATTAATAGCTTTCATTTAAAAAATACTTAATCTATTCCAGACACCATGTTGAGTTCTCTAAGTACATGATCTCAGTTAATCCTCAGAGCATCAAGAGCATTTATTGATCTCCCTTTCCCCCTTTGCAGATAAAAACACTGTCCTGTAGCAATCAGTGGGCAAGATGGGGCCTGAGCCAGGTCTGTTGGCCCACAGCCTGGACCCACACCCACTCAGCGGTCTGCCTCCCTCCCTTGCCAACAGGAAGCACGTGTGTTCTAGCCAGGCCAGAAAATTCTTCTTTACTTTATTCTGCACATTTGAGCAGAAAATTATCGTTTAAAAAAAGCAGCAGAATAAGAACTATCAAATGTATTTAACAAACATGTACATTCACTAGGTAACAGGTGTTCAAAGAATTTACAAATGTAACTCATTTAACTAAGTAGACCTTTTTTAAAATATTAAGGGGAACGGTGTTTTATTATTGCTTTTCATTCTTTGCTTTTTCAAACCTGATTTGATTCTCTTGTACGTGAGTGAAGTTATAAATAGAGGAGTTTGGGAAGGAAGGCGTTGAGGTGTTTAGTGTGATATTGTTGAATGTGTTAATGTCTTTACTATTTGATGGTTTTGGTAAGGGTTTAAATGCTTTTTATTTTCTTATTAGTTTGTGGGAGATATCTGAAAGCCACTTCAAGTACCCAATTGTGGAACAGTACTTGAAGACAAAGAAAAACTCTAATAATTTAATTGTCAAGTACATCAGCTGCCGGGTGCTAACACTCAGCATTATACTGTTAGCATGCATCTACCTGGGCTATTACTTTAGCCTCTCCTCCCTGTCAGATGAGTTTGTCTGCAGCATCAAATCAGGGATCCTGAGAAATGACAGCACCGTCCCCGATCGGTTTCAGTGCAAACTCATCGCAGTTGGCATCTTCCAGTTGCTCAGTTTCATTAACCTCGTGGTTTATGTTCTGCTGGTTCCCGTGGTTCTCTACACGCTGTTCGTTCCTTTCCGGCAGAAGACAGATGTTCTCAAAGTGTATGAAATCCTGCCCACTTTTGATGTTCTGCATTTCAAGTCCGAAGGGTACAATGACTTGAGCCTCTACTACCTTTTCTTGGAGGAGAATATAAGTGAACTCAAGTCATACAAGTGTCTTAAGATACTGGAGAATATTAAAAGCAACTGTCAGGGCATCGACCTAATGGTTCTCCTGACTAATCTTGGCATGATCAAGATGGACAGTGTTGACGGCAAAACTCGCAAGCAGTCTGAGATGATGGGAGAGCAGCAGGGGAACCAGATGGTAGAGCTCAAAGGTAGGGTTAGCTTTCATCTGAGAGAACTCATGTGAATGATTGACAGTCTTTGCCACCCCACCCTTCTGCACTAAATCATTTTCCTAGTGTGCTCTTAAGTGAAACCCTTCAGTACTAGGAGAGAGAGGTAAAGAATTGGGGCTGCCCAAATTTCCAATTAAAGAAAGCTGTGCTGCCCTAACCGGTTTGGCTCAGTGGATAGAGCATCGGCCTGCGGACTCAAGGGTCCCAGGTTCAATTCCAGTCAGGGGCATGTACCTTGGCTGTGGGCACATCCCCAGTGGGGAGCGTGCGGGAGGCAGCTGATAGATGTTTCTCTCTCATCGATGTTTCTGACTCTCTATCCCTCTCCCTTCCTCTCTGTAAAAAATCAATAAAATATATAAATAAAGAAAGCTGTGCTTTTTCTAGACCAGTGGTCCTCAACCTGTGGGTTGTGACCCCTTTGTGGGTCGAACGACCCTTTCACAGGGGTTGCCTAAGACCATCGGAAAACACATATATAATTACATATTGTTTTTGTGATTAATCACTATGCTTTAATTATGATCAGTTTGTAACAATGAAATTGGGGGTCACCACAACATGAGGAACTGTATTAAAGGATCGTGGCATTAGGAAGGTTGAGAACCACTGTTTTAGACTGTTCTCTCTTCCTTCTCCTCCTCCTCTCCATTTCATACTTTGCCTCTTGCTCCCCCTTGCTGTCATTCTTGCTTATTTTTTTGGTCTTGTTTTATTGGCTTTTCTCCCTGTATCTCTGATCCTTTTGTCTCTCATTCTCTGTCTCTTTCAAAAGGAATGAGAGGCCTGGCCAGCGTGGCTCAGTGGTTGAGTGTCAACCTATGAACCTGGAAGTCACAGTCGGGGCACATGCCCTGACTGTGGGCTCGATCCCCAATGGGGGGCGTGCAGGAGGCAGCTGATCAATGATTCTTCTCTGTCTCTCTCTCTCTCCCTTCCTCTCTGAAATCAATAGAAATATTTTTTAAAGGGGGGAAGGGGGGGATGACAGTGTATTGGTTTAATTGTTGCCCCGACCTAACTTCACTATGCAGTGAAATTGGCTAAGGCAAAGAACATGAGATAGATGTATAGCGGCAGAGAAGTTAATTTGTGCTATGTGACTTCTGTCACAGATATTTCCTTTCCATTTTGACAGATTTGAATGCACACAGTGAAACTAAAGCAAATAATGGGGAGAGGAATGCTCAACAGAGACTCCTGGATTCTTCTTGCTGATGATCGTTTTCAGGAACTTCAGAGCCGTGACTCCTGTGGCGTGGGATTCATTTTGGCTGCAGCGCCTCTGTGAGGTTTCAGCTGGTTTGCAGTAAATGGCTCTTGGTAATGGCAGACACGACTTACGGAGTCCCTAATGAAAATGATGGCCCTCCGCATGCTGTGCGAGAGCCGTTCGTGCACTTCCTTTGAGAAGCAATGCAGAGATGAGTAAGCCACAGCAAGTATGTGAGCTCTCATCAGGTGAAAAGTGGAAAGACTAATCAGAGTAAGAGTGGTAGCCCTTTTAGTGCCTCAAAGCAACACCTTTCTGTATAGATGGTGCAATGAGACTCAGAGCTACGGGAAAGCAAGGACCTCGGGAGACTGTTGTTTTGTTTTGTGAAATAATAAGCATGTCAGAATACACTTCAGTATGAATCTCCTACATGCCCTAATGACTGCTGGACAAGAAACCGTCCACTGGCTGGACCCAGAGGTGGACCTGCTCTTGGCCTTGTCCTGAACTGGGAGAAATGCACACCCTGGCTCTCTCTGCACTGCCACCTGAGAGCCTTGGCTAACCACACTAACCACTATTTGTTGCAGCCTGTATGGAGGGCACCCGCCCATGCACTGCTCTGCCTGACAAGTTAGTTTGTAAGACAGAGTCTAAAGGGTATTGAATTGTGACTTCTGTCCCGGAAAGAATGCTTCTGAAAGAGCCCGTGGGGAAATCTGAACTTTCAGCCCAGGTTTATTTCAGGCACTGTCGCAAGGGGCATTCACAGCACAGCCCCTCTTAGCAGAAGCATTTGAAACGGTGTTACTTAAACAAATTAACTGAATGCCGAATGCCTAAAGTGAGGGACATTTTGCCTACTGTGATCAGAACATATGACAGCTGCCATACCGTGTGCCTGGAGCCAGCACAGCTTAGCAGTGTATTTTATTTATATTTAAGTACATCTTTTATACATTTATTTTAATTTAGTGTCATATGGTGTCAGAATTGAGGCCATTGGGGAAGAACATTCTAACACTGATGGAGAATTACAGAATAAATGTGACAAAAGGGTACATATTATAAATCCAAGCATTATTTTGTAAACATTTTCAAGCCAAGAATATATAAAAACTCTAACCAATTCTGACCATGTAAAGACATCCTAACTATGTTTACATTTTATACAAACTTTTGAAAAATGACATCTGTGGACCTCTCCATCTTCATTCTTAGAAAGCGAACACATTGCTAACGCGAGCAATCCTCAGGAACCTCAAAGTTTACATGTGGCTCTTAGGGACAGTGTTGACCTGGTGTAATGACGGTTTTGTGAAGAACAAAAGTTACATAAGCTGCTCTTTGTCTTTCAGAATATTCACAAAGGCAGGTTTCATTTGTGCTTCTGTGATGGTTTCTGCAAGGAAGAGCTAATAATAATCAAGGATGCAATTAATGCTTTAAATTATTCTTATTATGTGATATTTATTACCATTAAATTATAGTGGAAATGGCAGTGATCTAAGTAACCAATTTTGCTACATGTTCATGTCATTGTATCTGAGATGTTCAATCACTATACTCTACATTCATTGCTTTTTATAATTTGAAAATATATGCTTTTCTACGCTATGCTTTTCTTTCAAAAAGCCTCATCTTTTCTGTAGACTGTCCCTGATTTACAGTGTTTTGAAGCAGTAAAGTGGATACATTATTTAGGAGACAGGAACTCTATAAGTCCCACCATGTGTCATCCTTCCATCAGAGTTATAATTGGCTTCTGTTCATGTCCCCGTTCCCACTCTCTGAGCTCTGAGAGGGTCTGTGACACTAGTCAAGTCACCGACTACGTGGGCATGAAAAAGACAGGTCCCCATCTTTGAGGAGTGCAGAGTCTAGTAAAAGGCAGGGAAGACAGAGGCAGGTGCAAGAAGAAGAGGAGCCGCAATAAAGGCCCTTCCAGAAAACACACAGCGGGTGCTCTAAGCTCCTGGGAAACACCCTGTCATTTTTCTCTTTTTCATAGTGTCTGTGGCTGATGGTTTTGAGAGTCTAGTTACAGTTTTCCCCAGAGGCTCTATAGCCACGTGTCCCCCAGGTTGAAGCCTGGACTAAACCGTGACATAGACGGTGATTTTGAACAGTCAAGAGCTCCAATCACTCCAATCATCTCTCCAATCACTCCAATCACCTTTCATCCCTGACCTGGCATGGGGTGGGGAGGACAAGCCCATGGGCTGGTTGCCTGAGAACAACAGTCATGATGCCAGGAAGCTGAGGTGGATGGCATACAGTTTTGCTTGGAAAAAAGTGTTACTAGGAAAGTTAACCCATCCCATCCACTGTGAGTTACTGGCTTAGCAGTAATTTGAGCAGCCAGATTTCTGAGGGTGAGGAGACATTCATTGCTCTATAAAAGGAGACAAACTTCCTAAATGAACTCCTTGTGTGTCCCCCCCCACCCCCCCGCCAAGTAGCACTTGACCTTGTCTCTGACCCAGGTCTGCCATGTATAAACCACCAGGCAGCCTCTGAGCCAGGCTCATAGCTCCCATGTTGCAGCTGGGCCTGGGCCCTTCATTCTGAATGCAGTGACCAGTTGCATGTATAGTTTTACCAAGGGACCGCACAGACCCTCCAATACTGAGGTCCTTAAACTTCTGGGAGGTTACAAATTCCCTTGGAAATTTTTTTTAAGCTATATACCTTCTTTTCAGATCTACACAAACACTAAGCAAAGCTTCCGGGGTCACAGCCCACGCTCCCAGGGTTAAGCTGTGCTTTAATGGCCAAAGGCCACCGCACAGCAGCGTGGAGGCCCCCACTGCCCTTGTGTTTCCACAGTGAGCCTCAGCGGAAGGCTCGCTTTTGAGCGAAGTGTCCCTATTGAGTAGCCGGCTTCATTTTCTAAAGTCAGATGGGAAAGTTACAAGAGTTGGCGTGGGTAGCCTGGATTGGTCAGGCAGTTGGCATTGACCGCTGTTCTCTCTCTGGCCACCAGGTGTTACTTATTCCAGATCTATCATTGTCCCCGTGCAGCCTCACTGGAATGTGAGGAGGGTGGACCAACACTTGTAAAACGCTTTGTCCTGCTTCGTAGTGGTCCTGTGAGGAAGCTGGGAACTTCCAGGTGTGTGGTGGGTCCTGTGGCGTGTTCCTGCTTCATTTGTGGAAGCAGCCTGTTGACTGGGTATCCTCTCCTATCCAAGAACGAGCCAAGGTAGGACCGCAGGGCACTGGGCCTCATTCCTGGGAGAATTAGCTCAGCTCTTAGAGGCAGGTGCACACTTTTTTTTAAATGTGTGCATGTTTGGTTTATTTTGCTATTGTCAGTCCAGGGTAAATTGAAAATCCATAAGGGTGGGAGTTTTTATCCACTGCTGTACCCGAAGCTCCTAAAACAATGATTGTCATGTAATAGGCATCCTCAAATGTTTGTTGAATCCATAAACACACCAGCGTGATAACTCCTCGTTTGTTGGCAACTGTGATTTGATTTTAAACTGCAGATGGTTCTCGGCAGGAGAGGGGAAGGGAGCTCACTTAGCTTCTTGGTAGGGGGGGAACTATTTCTGCCGATGAATAGGTTTCTACAGATACGTAGTGACCGTTCTTAGCTTTTTATTGTGGAGTTAGTCATGACCACTTTCCAAGGTCAGTGCTGCCCTGCAATAATTAGGGCAACTAACGTTTTAGAGGTCCTGGTCTCCGTAATTTCCCAGCAGAACCTCATGAAAAGGGTTGTTGATTGAAATGTGCAGTTGTCGGTAATTGAGGTTTCATCTCGGGGCATAGAATGAACTAGCTTCTGGGCAATCACTGGCCTTTGGGCTCTGTTTTTCACAAGTAAAGTGAAACCTTTAAAGAAAGATGATACTGTGTTATTTGTGGAATATCATCAATGTTCATCTGTGTTCATCTGTGATTGGTTTTGCCTGCTTGAAATGAAATGTTTTGTGTTCTGGGTTCTCTTTTGAGCAGTGAAAATGTGTTGTCACTGCTTGATCAGTAATTGTTCTTCAAGTTCCTGAAAGTTATAAAAGCTTCTGGTGCCTTGAGTGCTTCCCCGCTGCCCACCAGAAGAGGAAATCTTGTAGAGTTCTACAGCGCCACAAATGTCCCCACAAAACTGAAGCCATCAGCTTCTCTGTAACAAGTTGGCTTTTTAAAAGCATCCTAAGTACATGTAATGGTATTCTGTAAGTGGTGCTTCTAGGTGTAATTTAAATTCTTTTTAATGACTAAATTTCTTCACAGCTTTTAAAGGAAATATGTAAGTTCTTTTTTCTGTGTCATTTGGAAAGAATGGTGGCTTCTACTCCACAAAGGATGAGAACATATCATGGTTTAGAAAATGATCCTTAAAACCAGTACGAGCACCTTGAAAGCTCTGTGTTTGGGTGGTTATCACTCTTGTATTTTGTATTCATTCCCACATATGTCAATTGTCCAAGGTCTTCCTTCTGGTTGTGCTGACTTCTTTTAAGGAGGGATGACAAGCTAAAATCAAGGCTGTAGTGTCCATAGACAAAGGTGAAATGCTGTTTTGGTTCTGCACTGTTGTGTCCACCTAAATAAAACTTCTGTGAGTAAGAAAAAATGCCTGAATATTCCTTGCCTCCTCTTCAGGGAAGATGTAACAGAAGATGAGTCCTGAAATGTCCTGAGGCTCATTCTTCTCCACTGGATGCATAAATTTCAGTGGGCTCCATGGTACTTACTAAAATCCAGCTGGTGATAACGGTAGGAAGAAAGGCTTGATTAAGGGCCCACGGATTCTGGAATTTCTAAAGCAGAAATCACAGGCTTTCTGATTGGGGATTGTTTGCCTGGGCTTGGAGAGGAAGGAGTATAGACTCTGTGCTGCTAAACATGATTGGCCTGCCACTTCTCCCAAGAGGGGGACTCCTTTGTACAATGGTCAATTAACACAATTGACGGTTGTGGGTAATAAATCAGAGCCATTCAAAATCTTAGCACAGTGCCTGCCATCGAGTGAGTGCTCCATACATGGTAGCTGAGGTGATATTCCTCCTGCTCTTGGCTGTTTCCTAGGGTGGCATCCCAGGAACCTTGGAAGCTGTATTCATTTTCTATCATTCCGTAACAAATTACCGCTACCCTAGCAGCTTAGAGCAACACATTTATTGTCTCAATTTTCCCTGGGTCAAGAGCCTGGGCATGGCTGAGCTGAGCCCTCCGCTCAGGATCTGACAAGGCTACAGTGAGGTGTGGATGGGTTACATTCTCCTCAGAGGCCTGACTGGAGAAGGAGTGGCTCCCAAGCTCCCACAGGTTGTTGGCAGAATTCATTTCCTTCTAATTGTCTGACTTCTTTTTACTGAACTAGTGGCCCGGTGCACGAAATTTGTGCACATTAAAAGGGAATTAATTAGAGGAAATATTTTAATATTGCTATTTGCCCTTTCTCTATAATAGAAGTGTGAGAGATGAAAGGAAATTAGTAAAATGTATATGAAAATAATATATAAATTTATTAATAAACAATAACAAAAGGCTATAACAACAGAGGCATGATATAAAAACATGATATGAAAACAAAAACATGATATAAAAACAAGTGATGCAAACAATGACTGATAAAATGATTAAGCTTATTCTAATATCTCCCTGTACACCACATTAAGAGTGAAAACACTTTCAGAGTGCTTGAATAATTTCCCTTGTGATGAAATATGTAGAACTTTAACTTTAACATCACATGCTCTTCGAACTCGAGAGAAAGCAACATATAACTGACCATGTGCGAAAACGGGTTCAGATAGGAATATTCCTACTCTGTCTAGAGTTTGTCCTTATGATTTATTAATAGACATCACAAATGCTAGCATCACGGGAAACCGTTGTCGAATCAATTTAAATGGGAGGCCAGTGTCAGATGGGGACAAATCAATTCTTGGAATCAGAACAACCTCTCCCTCTGCAGATCCTGTTAATACTTCAGCTTCAATAATGTTAGGTCATAATCTTTTGATAATAAATCTGGTACCATTACAAAGACCCCATTTACTATTAAGATTTCTCAATAGCATGATGATTGCACCCACTTTCAATTTTAATTTATGACACGGCATTCCCGAAGGAGTAATACTATTAAGAAATTCGATGGGAAAATTTTCCTTTCAGCATCATCTGTTGAGTCAATGGAATCATCATTCAAATATGTGTGAAAATCTCCATCAAGTATATCCAAAATTTCTTCATTTAATTTTTGAATGTGCTCATTTTTTGGACAGAGAATCACACGTTTAGATATATTTTTAATATTATCTATAGATATAGTATTTCCAAAGATAGCTTCAATAATAGATCCGTTACAAATCATTTCATGGGGGATTTCAATAATATTCATTCCTAAATGAAAACTGCTATCAAGTTTGCCATCTCCAAGTTTTACTAACCATCCACTATAAGCAGAATCCTCTGATCTCATATTTGTTGTAAGAGACAACTTTCTGAAACATCCCCAAACATTACAGTACTTTAAACTTGTTTGTACTATGACCGATCGCATAGCATGTGGTACAATACTGAGACATTGTCAAAAATCCCCTCCAAGAAGGAGAACTTTCCCACCAAATACAACATTCAAATTCATAATTTCTCTTAGTAATCTGTCTATGGCGTTTATAGCATGACTGGATGCCATGGTGCATTCATCAATAATGAGAAGTTAGACCTTTTTAATAGTTTTAGCAACTTCACTCTTTATATCGAGTCTAGAAATTGAAGTTTCATTTAATGGAATTGGTAATTTATATTGGGAATGAAAGGTCCTTCCACCGAGAAGTAAATTTGCAGCAATTCCTGTAGACACTGTGGGTAAAACAGTACCACCACGATCTCTAATATAATGTATTAAAACTTTATACAGATATGCAGGTGAATAGGATTCCTAGCTGGCAGGCCCCTGACAGCAAGCTGGCCACCTGTGGATTCCGTGAGGAATGGGGCTCCCTCCTCCCTCCTGTCAGGGTCTGGTTTGAAGGCCGTCCACGCCCCCTGTTGGGCCAGACCCAGAGTTCTACCATGCCGTGGCCTCGGCCTCAGCAACCCAGGACTGACTGCCGCTCCCTCATGCCTCGCTACGAGGGTGGGTTCTTCCCTCAGGCCTCACGGGAAACAGCTCGGGGAGGGCATAGGCATTGCC